CACTGAGAAAAGCCAAGCCTGTTTGACCTGGCTTATGAAGAAACTGTGCTTCATGGCCAAGAAGGAGGCAGCCAACACCCCACTAGTGTCCCTCAAGGTGTGTGATGCTGCAGTTAACGCCTCTCTTTTGTTCACAATATTATAAAATCAAAGCGCCAGCTGTTGTATTTGATATACAGTGGACTCTGAATTTGGTTTATCAAATTTGTGGATTAACAATGCACCTGAGATTTTGAAATAAATTAATAACTCATGGATTTTTTTTTTTCCCCTTAAGCCCAAATTAATCATGTTAAAACAATTCTACATTGTTATTAGTGGAAATGTTTGTTAAAAGTCACGTGCTTAAACTGAAATCCACGTGATCGCCTCTACAGTACAGTAGTTGCAATTCTTTACAACAGTGAGCAGAGTTTGATGTTGATTGGCGTGGCTCTGCTACTGTCCACTTAGTGGACTGAGTCTTCTGCGTGGGAGCAGGAAAGTGTTATCACTGAGTACGTGCATCGTATTCCATGGAAAATTTATGTTTGGATTATCAACAGCTGCCCACTGCTGCCAATGCTTCCAGTGCTGCATCTTATATAGCAAGGGTTACTTGTAAGGCATGGTATGCTTTACCAAAGTCCGAGAACATGCATAAGTTTAATCAAGCGTCTACAATCTCGATCCCTTCTTCATGTTGGAAATTGCGTGTGTGTTGTTTGGTTCATATTTGAGCTTGCCGTTCTCACTAACCAGCGTTAATTGTTTGGCAAGTCTGGCTACTGACAAGAGCCAGAAGTTTGAAACTGGTCCAGAGATGTCAGTTTTGACATTCCGCTGCTTAACATATCTGGAAGGCCACTCGGCCCGTATTCTGAGATGTTTTCCTTTAGAGGTATGGAATAGGTAATTTATTTAATATACTGTATTTATCTGTTTAAGTGTGATTGTATTTAGTATTTTTAAAATTAGATTTTTAACCATTTTCAAGGTCTAATTTCTATTAATTTCACCATTTTAAAGCAATATCGTAATAATGTTGGAAATATCTTTAAATCTTCTCCTGTTCCAGAGAACGTGTGTGTTTAAGTTCTTCGCGGCGATTGCTTTAGACTTGGGAAAAGAGAAAACAACTCCATTCCTGGTGATAATTCTGAGACCGCTCCATCGTGAGCTGCACAGCACATACGTGGAGCACGGTGAGTGCAAAAAGTCTGTTATGTGGTTCGTCTGCTGTTTATCTTTTGCAAGTAGGACAGTGGTGCCTAAACGATGGGTGTGAATTCTAGAAAGGCTAGAAATCTGAACTTTGGCACAAATACATGTGAGGATGTACTTTACGAGAAAATTACAAAAAGTACGTAAAAAAATGTTTTCCATTATTTTTATGGTTTTCTCTCATCGGGAAGTTTCTGCCTTAAGGAATATGTTTTGATAGCCATGGCATTACCCTTGATTTTTTAGTATTTTAGTCTTGGCTTTGGGGCTCTGATCCTCTATGTTATAGAATTTAATAGAACTTACGTGTATAATAAGCACAAGTAGTTATGAAACATTTTTGGTGGCTGTGTTGCAAATCGTGCACAAAAACAAATAACATCAACTGACCTATGTGCTATGAAAAAGGGACATTGCCCAAACCATCAACTTGTGTATACATTTGTTCCTTTTAATGCAATGTTATTCATGATTGTTGGGAGTTTTTTTAATATGAGTAGTTAATCTTATAATCTTTGGGTCTTTTGGTAAAGCCACGGAGATATAAAAATAAAAATATCACGACCTTTCGATCGCAACACTAGCAATCGTCATCAGGTAAAGCCACGGAGATAGAAAAATAAAAATATCACGACCTTTCGATCGCAACACAAGCAATCATCATCAGGTGAAATAATATACCTCCTTTGCCAGTACCAAAATATGAGAATAGGTTTTCCCCTTTTTTCTGGCAACAAAACAGGTTTTAAGATGTTAAAACACTAAACTGAAACCTTTTACAAGGAATCATGTCTGCATTAACCACAATACTTGTGATCAGAATGCAAACAAAAACATACTCTGATAATATATGCATTGTCTTTGAAACTGATTGGTCCACACCAGAGACAGCTTTCTTTGGAGCCTCGTCTCAGAGGATGCCTTTTAGAGTCATCTGTTCTAACACCATTTGAGACTGGGCTCCAAAGAAATTTGTCTGGTGTGGACCAATCAGTTTCAAAGACAATGCATATATAATCAGTGTTTTTTTGCATTCTGACCACAAGTATTGTGGTTAATGCAGACATTATTCCTTGTAAAAGGTTTCAGTTTGGTGTTTTAACATCTTAACACCTGTTTTGTTGCTAGAAAAAAAGTGGAAAACCTAATCTCTTAGTTAATCTTGTTTGTGTACTATACATTATAGGTGCTGACTTACTCATGCTTTACAGATCCTACATTGAAGACCCTGTCTCAGGAGATCATCGAGTTGCTGAAGGGCCTGGTGGGGGTGGAGGAGTTCTCACTGGCTTACAGCAGTGTCCAGAAGCAGGCCAACCAGAAGCGCACGGAGCGCAAAGTTCAGCGGGCTCAACAGGTCAGGAATGCCCACGTGCACGGACGGGGTTGGCGGTCCACGCAAATGCCATTACATGCTACTACTTGGCATTTGAGCAGGCTGCCTGACCTGCCATTGGAAGGCTCCGAGTTAAAATTTTGGTCAGAGTTCCGGGACTATTAAAATATAAAAATATGTAGCACTTTGTCAGAAGCATACACAGCAATCCCTCGCCGACCGCGGACTTCATGTACACACGCTTTATGAATTGTATACCAATTTACCCAACCGCGGCCTAGAAATTTGAGTATCCCCGGGTAAGCACGAAGTCTGCAACTCTCGTTTTACAAATTTCATGAGGCCGTGCGGTTCTCCTCCGCGTCACAGCACCACCCGTGGCCACCCGTGGCGCTGCGTAGCTCATCAGCGAGTCTCGTAGCACATAGACCGCGTCGTATCGCAACCGCATATTTTGTTTTTGTTTATTGGTCATTAATGACCGGGAGGAAGAGGTGCTAGGTGCGCTGAGCCCCTTGTCCTTCTAACAACCCCTTTCCCCATCATCTCATTGTAGTCGTCAACATCGTTAATTTTAAAGGTATATAAAGTTAATGTAATATTTATGTTATGTATGTATGTATGCACGTTGAACGTCTTGCACACTCTACGTTATTGTGTAGTGTACTGTATTTTATTCGTTAAGCTATGGTGAGTCTCACCACGGCCATGGTTCCCCTAACCGCCTATTTCCCATAGGCTTTGAACTTTACCAACTGCAGATTTGCCTACCTAACCCCCCTGGTTGGCGATGGATGACTGTACTGGCTTTCCTGTGTAGATATTGGCTTCCATAATAGGAATTTTGAACTAAAGCCACTGGCTCAGTGCTGCCAGTAGAATTGTTTATCACTCAGCAGTCGGACAGGGAGGATCTTCGGATGTTTTTGTTTTATACCATATAAAAAAAGTTGGGCTGGCTGGCCGGCTTTCACGTCCAGATGGATGGACCAGTGGGCTGATAATCCTAAAATAATCTCAGTGCATGATGAGTATAACAAAAACGTTTATTCTTCAGTTGTTTTTTTAATCTGAATTACAGATCAACTATGCACAACTAAATCTAAAATAAATGTATTTGCCCACTATTTTAATTATGAATTGCTTCTCGCTCGTGACTTGGACACGTCAAGTACACCACTTACTCCCATTACCCTGGCTAACGAAGCTGCCGCCTGTCAGGGGCTAGCTGCTCAGTCCGAAACCACAGAATGTGGGCCAGCTGCCTTGAAAACACAGCACACAAACAACGTAGTGACAGTTTTTATTTGACACACATTTTTATTTAATTATATCCTCTTCTAATCTTTATTGTACGTTCAGAATGTGAAAAGGTTACATTATAATTTATTTGACTCTTAGTCCATGGCCTTGCGCGAGCGGGGTCTGGCCCCCTCCACCAGCAAATATCCTTTTGGCCACCCAAGTTCAATTTCTCCTCCCTCGCGGTGAATTGCTGCCACGGTGCCCCCCACACAACGGTTCAGGTGGCCCCACAGCCAAGAGGAGCTGTCTTGGCCACACAATTATGGAAATTCTATTCAATGGCTTGTGATGCACTATTATCTAATAAATAATATTTACATTATTATTAAAAAAAACTATTACTGGCTTATTGTAAATGTTAAAAGAATGTTTCTAAGTATTTACTCCACAATATAAAGAAAGTTTGAGCGGAATAAGTCACTCCAACCCGTTTTCTTTCATCGCGTGTGATTACATTTTATTGTTTTCGGTGTGCCCTGTGAAGGCTGTTGCAAACCCGGAAATAGCTGCCCGGAGGAAGATGAAGAAGCACAAGAACAAGGTGGAGGCGCAGAAAAGGAAGTTGGAGGTGCTTCGTCCGGATTACAAGGCGAAGCGGCAAAAAACCAAGAGCGTGCGTGAGCTTGCTATTTTGGAGTGAGGTCTTGGCCTCACGGGAGGACTTCTCACTTACTCCTTGCCGCTATTTATGATGCCTCGGTGAACTCAAGAGTTCTTTGTGTCCCACAAATGGTGGCCTAGACACTGCAAAACTGGCAATTTGGAAGGGTGTGCTTTTATTCAGATATTTTTTTTTAGAGAACATGTAAAAACAATGTGTGAAACCAGTGTAAGATTTACGTGCATTGTTACACGCATTAGGAATGAAAAATGTTCATGGTAAAATTACATGGAATTCATATGAATAATGTGTTTAAACATTTTGTTTGTATTGTTATTACATTGTTAATGATGAACTGGGACTGTATTTGTATTAAAGACATGTTAATGCACTGGCGCTCTACTTTGCATTTTGTATTTGTGCTTGTGCACCACTGCCAAAGCAACATCACCAAATAATTAGCTTTAATTTAGAAGTCGGGGGGTGATTGACTAGGCCCAGGAGTTGGCGACCCAAATAACAGGAAGAGCCATTTTTCTAAAATTTTGTAAAACAAACTCAATAACGTCACGAAGCAGCAGTCCTTAAAGCGCCACCGCACTCAGCTCCGGAGCCGCAGGTTGCCGACCCCTGGAGGAGGCAATGGCTCCGGGTGGTTATTGTTTATTGCAAAGATTATGGTGAGCCGTTATTGGCGAATGCTGTCATTGGTTACTGTTGTCAGAATGCGGTGTACTGGCAAACCCTGTGTAACGCAATCTACTGCTGTGTAAGTTCATTAAAATAATGCATTTAAAAAATCAAATGATAAAAAGCAGGCAATGTAAGGGGCTTTCGCCACACGTGGCAGTGGCGCGGTGTGTAATATAATTTGCGGTTGTGTGCAGTGGTTGCTGACTGAATATGCATGATGACCATGTGTGTGCTGACTATATTCTGACTGTGTTGCCTGTTCTGACAGTTTGTGCATGCGTGCTGAATGTGCTATGTGAATGTATGTTTGCCTAACTGCGAATGTGTGTGCATGTCAAATGTGCGCTGACCAGAGTTGCAACATGCGTCTATTAGCCACATCTAAACCCACTAAGGTGGGTGTCATGAGTCCGAACACCCATGACATCCACAGTCGTAACTGTGCCACTGTTGATCGCAGCCAAAAAGCGTTATTTTATCCAAGTGCACCTAACGGTCACAAGTTTCCAGCCTCGCAAACTAAATGTCAAAATTTCGATTTAAAGCTTTCGTGACTGCAGGGATTCATCTTCTTGGTTCTTTCTGTAAAGTCACGTAGAATGGAAATAATAAATAATAAATAAAACAATAAAATAATTCTCACGACGTTTTGGCAGTCTGTCGTCTCGACAGACCTGTTCTTCACCTGAGGACGGCTGCTTGCGTTGTGGCCGAAACGTGAGAATTATTTTATTATGTTTTATTTTATTATTTCGATTCTACGTGACTTTACCGAAAGAACCAAGAAGATAAATGTCAAAATGCCCAAACAAAGATCCAGGTGGACAAACCCGCATCGTCTGTGTTTATAATTTAAATCATATATAATGTGTAAAACAAAAAGGGTAATGTTTATAAATATTTGATGTGTACATTTTTATAAATATTTGTAAAGAAAACAGCTGACTTGTAATAATGTGAATGTAAATCTTGACTGAAAGCTTTCATAACGGCAGGAATTCATATTCTTAGGGTCTTTCGATGAAGTCACGTAGATTGGTTTTTTTGTTATTTTCTTAGAACCTCTCTACGTGACTTTACCGATAGACCCAAAGAATATGAAAATGTGAACGTATTGTAGAGCTGTAAAATGCTTATGGTGAAGCGGCGTGGATGTTCCATGAAAAGTGATAATTGTAAAGTTTGTATTTACCACTTTGGCACATCTTATCAAAATACAAAAGTATGCGAGTACAAGTGCTGCATGTAAAATTGTACGTGACTATATAGCTTCATGTTAGTGGTATGTTCAATACTTTTTACAGGGATAATTACCCTGAATGTAAACACCCATAGCCAGCAATCAAGACATAAATAATTCACATGCCTATTTACAAGGGGGCACAATAGTAACTGTTCACCTGCCATATGTCGCCCAGGTCGACAGTGTATAACCTTCCACAAACCTCACTGGTCATATAAGGCATTCTCCAGCAGCATGTCGATTTACTGCTCTCGTACGCAGAGGGAGTTGAAACCCGCTTGCTGCCGCTTGCCAACATCTGCAGCCGCCGCTTGAGAGAGCTGCTAAAAAGGGGGGGGGGGGGGGGGCTTTGTGAGTTGCCTTCGAAGGCGGCAAGAACGATGCGCGGAGATGAGGGGGATGGCCTCGCCTCGCTGCGAGGTGGCGAGGGAACGGGGGCCGTGTCTGTGACCTCCTTCGGTCGCAAGCCAAAGGTGAAGCACAAAGCGGCATCGCGTGCCGATGGGGCCAGTCCGCTCGGCCTTCTGCGGAATGGGGGTGCGGTCGCACCTCCGCGTGGTGATTTGCAGCGAGTGGTAATAAACGTGTCCGGAGAACGGTTTGAGACGCAGTTGAAGACGCTGGACCAGTTCCCAGACTCGCTCCTGGGCCACCCGGACAAGCGAGCGCGATATTTTGACCCACTCCAAAACGAGTACTTTTTTGACAGAAGCCACGTCAATTTTGATGCCATCCTCTTCTACTACCAGTCTGGGGGAAGGCTTTGCAAGCCTGTTGACGTGCCTTCGGATGTCTTCAGAGAGGAGGTAGAATTCTACGAACTCGGAGAAGAAGCCGTTGCAAGGTACGGAGAGAATACACTTGACACCCCTGAAGAGGAAAACTTGCACGGAACAGACTTTCAGCAGCACTTATGGCGCTTGTTTGAATCGCGAGACGGTTCCATCGCTGCAAAGATGTTATCCCTCGTGTCCTTTGTGGCGACTATACTGTCGATTACAGTCATGTGTTTGGAGACACTGCCACAATTTCGCAAAGATAATCAAGTTCATGCCAATCGTACCGAGTTCAGCATTCGGGCAAGCATCGACTATCTCGATCCTTTCTTCATGTTGGAAACGGCGTGTGTTGTTTGGTTCATATTTGAGCTTGCCGTTCGCTTTTACGCCTGTCCAAGCAAGACGTCCTTTATGAAGGATTTCATGAATGCGATCGACATCCTGGCAATAATGCCATATTTCATCACGGTTGTCTTGGAGATTATGCAACAGCAAGATCAGACGCGGCAACCTTTGCTGAAGATCATACGCCTCGTAAGGGTCTTGCGAATATTCAAACTGTCTCGTCACTGCCAAGATCTGCAAATCCTTGGGCTGACGCTGAAGGCCAGCCTGCGGGAGCTGGCCATGCTGAGCTTTTTCCTCTTCGTCGCTGTGGTCATATTCTCCGGTGCGATCTACTACGTGGAAGCTGACGACCCGCAGAAACACTTCACCAGCATCCCAGACGCCTTCTGGTGGGCGGTGGTCACAATGACGTTGGTTGGATACGGAGACATGTGGCCCATGACGGTGGGAGGCAAGATTGTGGGTGCGCTGTGTGCTATCACTGGAGTGCTCACCATCTCTCTACCAGTACCCGTCATTGTTTCAAACTTCAAATACTTCTATAATCTAAAAAACAAGAAGGACATTAAGAGATGTCATCGTTGCTAAAGCCACCTTACCCGCTACGCTTGACCTCCAACATCTATTCTGACAGTCTCCCACATCTGGTCTCATGAGGTCTTCCTCTTAGTCACCAGTCTCGTGGAGACCGGGCCTCCTCCATCTCGCACACGTGCAAGTTATGCAATCTACTGGTGCTTTTGTGTTCATGGCTTGAGATATATTTAAAAATCAGCTTTTCCTGGATCCTCTGCTCTCTCTCTTTTACCTTCACTTCTCGAGTTTCTGCACACTCCAAAATATCTTACATTTAACATAATAGACGGACTCTCTAACATCTAATGATTCCGTCATAGTCCTTTGATGCTGTCCTAATCACGTCACACCTCCTCCTGTAGTGCTTTCTACTTCCCTCCATTCTTGTTCCTGCACGGATTAAAATCAGCACACTTTTCTTGATATTGCAGCGACAGTCAATACTATATAGCAAACATATTGGGCTACACGGAATGTAACCCCCCCCCCCCCACCAGTATTTTTTTAATGTAATGTAATGTTTTACTTGCTTGTATTGTCTCATACGTTATTTTTCTCTCCAATAATCTAAAGTTGCTTTAGCATATAATCCATATACAATTTGTATTTAATGTGCATTGATTAAAAAGTGCATTAAACACGTATGTGCTACTAAGAAGGCCCATTGCCTGAAACGTCGCCTTTTATATATATTTTTTCGTTTTAGGGCGATAGTGTTGAGTTTTATTCATGAATCAAAGAATTGTCGCATGCCTAATCATGTACATATACTCTTATATATGATGCTGCTGCCATTGCAGTAAGTAAAGTATGGGTATTTTTTAGACTACCCTGGCCATAGTGGACTGCACTCATCTGCACTCAGGGCCTGGCGTGAACGGATTAAAAAACGTGACACCAGAGTTGGCTGTGCTCGGAAACAGAGGACACTCCGACCTCCCCCGGTGGCAGCATGGTCCCGAGCGGTCTTTCAAATGCTCCCATCTGGACGTATCAGACCAATTTATAACGTCACGGATCTACTTTTAATAAGGGAAGGGAGAGTAGCAATGCAAGAATGGACCAAAAGCAGCGTGGGCCAACGCATGCAGTGAACATGGCCTATAAACAAGGTCATTCGATCATAAAAACATTCATACCAATATATAACAGGTGACATTTCGGGCAATTATATAAGTTGCCCATTTAGTATTTTTCTTTCAAGGCACTGTTATTCACGAATGTGTTGAGTTTTACGTTAATTGCGTTTGTGTGCCACGACCAACGCAGCCTTACCAAATAATTGAAATAGAATAATCTCATTAGATTAATACATTGGTTGTTGCATGCTGCCTGATTTCCATTGTATAATTATTTCCTTTCGTGCTATAGGCACTGTTGCATGAAAATAATAAGAAATAACACTTGAAATTTGGTCAACGTGTTAAAATCGTGGGTTGTACATTAAAACATGTAAAGTGTGCAGAGTTTTACTAGCATGGCAATGAGCAATAGATATTCAAAATTACTCGCTAGACATAATATATTGGCACTCGAAATGTATTGCTACAGGATACTGCATCTAAACTGGCCCCAAAGAGTGACCAACGAGCCCCCTGCCCGTGATTAGATTTTGATAGACTTCGCAAGCTCTAGATTGGCATCTGGGTTAACTGGAATCAGGATTAGGATTTTACTCGTGCCTTTGCCTTGATTTGATCTCGCCTTCAGATAACTTTGATATTTGGCTTGGTACCCTGCATTTCCTCTTACATTTGAGTTAGATCCTTGTAGTGTTGCTGTTTTATAACCTAACCAATTACTTTTGACTGCAGTTAACTTTAATCCTACTCTTGGATTGGTTTCAATTTCCTCCTAACCCTAAAAAACATTGCATACGCCATTGTGTTGTTCTTTGCGACTCCGTTTATTCGATTTCTCCTTGCTCCGGCCCTTGCCCTGGAATCTGGTTTTCGTCACATCCACTGCCCAAGATAAATTCATCCCAGACTATTGTACAACTCGTTGTGTGTTTTATTTAAAGCCATTGTAAATTGTTACAAGGGTGAGGATGAAAACACTTTTCTGACGAGACAAGTTGTGGACCTCCTAAACGAAATCTGGTCTTGGCATTTTGTAAGTTCTCGAATGTTGCCTTCCTGGAGGCGAAAGCCAAGACTGACCCACCTCACATGTATTTACACTGTAAATATATTTCATCATCTCGCCGAGCTACTCTGGTGCGATTTAAAATTTTGCGTGCGTGTCAAAACTTTAGAGCGTTTTTGCGTACAACTTTTCGTTGTAAAACTTAAGTAAACTTACTTCCGCTTCATAACTGGAACGTTGTCCTGCCAAGTTATTTTCCATGGAGGTGCTGTGCAAAGAAAAGGCTGTTGTAGATAGTCCATTGATGTTATTTTATTTCTAAATATATATTGTCTTTGAAAGGAATGTGAAAAAGTGTATTAATTTAAAGGAGAAAACCAGAAAGTCAATGTGCCCCGCACATTTTGTTCAACGCAGTGGTCAGCGATGAGATGTAGACATTTTAAAAAACACACGTGTATGCAAGGCATAACTTTGCCATTGACCACATTACACAGGTCAGACAATGTTGTGTATGTCACAGGCAAAAGTTTAATGCAAGGACCTTTGATCGTGTGTTGGTGTTACACTTTCAGGGGGAAAAAATACATGTGCACTCGTATCACGTGGAATGTTTTACATTTGCCACTATGTAGTCAGACCTTAAGTGCTGCTTCAGAAGGATAAATTCGCCAAAATGTCGGAATCTACCCTCGTGTGACGAAACATATTTTTTTACTTAATTAGTTACTACGTATGCCAAATGTATACTGCTGTTTTTGAAAGATGTGACAGGAACATATGATACGGTACCTTTGAAACACTCATAGGTAATAAAATAGTCATCCGTGTCAAGCTTGAGCATTTCATTTTCTAAAAAGTTATAAAATATCCAGTAACAAGTGCAAAATTCGTTGCAAACATTTCCAATAACACGAAAATTGACACGACCTCTATACGTGTGTTTATTTACCTATAAAATATAATGCTGATAAAAGAGTATGGTGATTGAAAACATTAACAATCAAAAACAACATTTTGTTAGGTCTATTAATATCTCAAACCTCTATACATGCACTTTCCTCTTACCAAACAACGATAATATGATATATGACATACACAAACATATTCCTCAAAAACAAGATTGATAAATTTTATCCAAAGCATGGACTTGTCAGGTAAGCACAGGGAAAACATGCAACTGCATCAAACAAACAGAATGGGGGCCCATTTAGCGCAACCTTATTTCAAACAAGATTACGATATAAAACACCAATCAAGAACTCGGACGTACTGTGTTGCTGTGTTAGAATTTGAAACTCAACCCATTCCTTATCAATAAAAATGTTGTCTCGCCCATCTGCATTAATACACTGGAATTATATTTTTCATAACTGGGCGCCACGGTGGGGAGATGTGAACTCCCTCGCCTGGTATACAGGAGTTTGTGGGTTAGATCCCGAATCCGACCTTTACGCCTACTGTATATTTGGAGTCTGCTTGTCCCTCTCACCCCGTGGTCGTGTGGCCTTTTCTCCGTTTTTTCCGGTGTTTCCCGAAACATTTAGAAACTTGTGCTTAAGAGTATTTGGCTGCTATAAATTTCCACGTAATAAGCCACTTTAAGCAATCATTTTTGGTCATGTCGCATCTGAAAAAGAGCCATATAGCTCAGTGGGCCTTACCTGGTAAAATAAAAACATGTTTTAGTTTGATAGTTTTTTTTACTGTTGGGTGCCAATACATCAATTATTTTTTTATATAAACTATTGTATAAGGATAATTAAAGTAATTACTGATTTATAATAGATTTTTGGGTTCCCTCTTGCAAGTTTCAGTCTTAAGACCCTTGAGCACCTGGCATAGCTCAAAACATTTAATTGAAAAGTGTGTGTACAAGCTTTTAAAGTGAAATTATTATCTAGTTCACCGGTATGTGGAAGAACAATTCACACGACCAAATATAGCAATTACGAGATGAAACTTTTCGCTTGAAACTAAATCAAGCATCTTCAGGAAATCCAGGAAGTTAGAATCAAATCCAGGAAGTCAGAAAAAGGGGCACCACAGTGGCGAAATGTTGCGTACCTCACGGCTGAGGTTTCGATCCAGACCCTGACACCTGCATATTTGGAGTTTGCATGTCTGCCTCCCCGTGGTCACGTGGATGTGTTTCAGATTCTCCGGGTTTTCCCTCCACATTTAGAAACATGCATTTAGAGGATTTGGCTGTTATACATTTGCACATGATATGCCATCTCGTAAAGCTTTTAATTGTGGCCTGATCACTTCTGAAAAAGAGCTATATAGCTCAGTGGGCCTTACCTGGTGGTGGAGGGATCTTACGACTGAAAAGGGTCTTGCAATGCAGATCGTGACATAGCCTCACCCAAAATTCAACTACGAATTCTAATATTGTCTGTGAAAACCTCTGGGGTTATGTTCAAATTATTCCATTAAGCATGCCCTCAAATGCTTATAATTTTACTGAGGTCCAGGGATATAATTTTACAATTTGCAAAACACCACGTGTGTGTGTTTGTGTGTTGTGCTCATTCTTTGGAGATCCTTTTGGACAGCTGAAAGCCATGGAGAGACTTGTGGGAGTTGCTGCGCTCCTTTTGCTGGACCTCCTGCAGTTGTCTCACGCTGCTTCGAGTGCTGCTACTGCTCTTGCAGTTGTCCTTGTTCTTGCCTATCAGAGACTCGAGCAGTTGCATCTTATCCTGTTCTTCCTTCAGGAAGACATTGACCAAATACAGCTTCTCCTTCTTCATGCAGTCCTCGATGTCTGAAGGGATGTCCTCAATCATCCAGTCCAGCATGTTACTCAGGAACATTACAAGATTCTGTAAAACAACAACTTCATAACGTTTCTTAGGGAAGGGCTTCTCACGGACATTTCGTGGCTTTCAAGTGTGCTGAAAAAAACATCACGAGGTCTATAGCAAGAATAATTTTGGGTCCTAGTTTTGTCCTGCTAGGTCAATACGATGCTACGATGGCAAATGTATACGGACAACCACATGAACAAAACACTTCGCTGTGGGGCCACAGCTTAGCAGCTCCAGCCACCTCAGGCTGTGATTTTTAAACATTATCAACTGTCATGAAAATCTCTAAACCACAGATTGTTATGAAAATATTAATTCAGATGTGAAAGACTCAGGTAAAACCCTGTTAATCTGCTCTTAAAGGAAAACGAACATACCTTTATTCTAACCCGACCACATGGTTCCAGGTAACAAAAACTTTATTTTCAATGCAATGCCATAAACTCCCTTCTGAATTCCCAATGCCCTGCTTCCTACACTGCTCCATCAATGACCGCATGCAAAGGATTTCCTACTTATACAAGTTTAAGAAAAGCACACCCAGTTTTCTATTGACATATTTGTGCTGCTGAAGATCGCACTCAAGCTTTCTTGGGTTTCATTATATACTTTATCTTTCACATAACCCCAACATTCAACCATGCAGTGTAAACTACTCTATGATTCACATTTTTTTTACAATGTATGATATATTTTTGGACATCTAGGAAATCCAAATTCTATCATACTTGCTTGCATAAACAGTTGTTAAACCCGCTACTTTATATGAAAATAAATTAGCCATCAAGGCCACAACCAAGATGGGTGCCACTCAAAACTTAAGTGTGTTCTTTTCAAGGGCACGCTGCCTGATTTTATTCAGTTGCCTGTTCAACTGAAGCACTGCAAGTTTGAAGACAACCCTTCCACATTTACTGGTTGCTCAACGGAGTTGAAAATATTTCATGACGGTCAATAGAATAGGTATCCATGAAGAGAGTAGAACGAGATTCTCTGCTGTTGATTTTTACACAAAAAACCAACAAATTGATAATAGGGTGCAATCACGGAAAAGTGAAACTTAACTCTTCCATATGCACGTTGAATGTGTACTCACCTGAAAAATAATAACAAACGCCAACCGACCAGCCAGAATTATCCAATATGTCTTGGTGTACTGGTAGGGGTGATCAGACCAGGGTGGCTCTAGATAGTCCCTGAACCTGCAAAATATACCAATATTTATTTTAACAAAAAAACATTCCAATTCAATTACATTTCAACCGAGCATTCGTGGCAAACTAAGCAAATCACTCTACTTTAATATTCACAGCAGAACTTAATAATATACTTTGGCGAAGTTAAAATTGTATATATATTATAGCCTTTCCATTAAATGGTATATGCAACAGCATTGGGATTCATTTCGTTTCCCTTGAAGCTGGAATTGCTCATACTAACCATCTGAAATAAGTAGGAATATATTGTGAATTGATAAAATAGGGTTTGAAGTATTTTATTGATGCAGCTTCTGTTGTTTATATAATTTCCTCAACACTACGACAAGGAACGTGTACTCAAGATTATGTTCACGATGGATATTCAACATTCCTGTGGTGGATGCCAGTATCTACGAAAGACAATAATTTTCTTCCCACAAAGTGGTACTCTCTGTAGGCCACCGTCCGAGGGATGATAGGCTAAGCTGCACTTAGACCCGGATTTACATTAAGGGACCTCCAATTGTGATACGAGCAGGAGTGCCACCAAACGGGTAAATACATTTGGCATGAGCGTTTTAACACACTATAATTTCGGCGGCCTAAGTTTTGTGGAGGGCTTCTCGGTGCTTCACGCCTCGCCTGTCGCCCCCACTTATGTCCTCTTCTCCCCCCCCCCTCATATGTGCAGATAATACTAACTATTGTATATAGGGTGTGTAGGCATATTTGCCTACAAAATACATTTCTTTTTTTGGGTGGATAAATTTTGTAAACCTGTCGGATCAACTTTTTACCCCCACATCTGGAGGTGGGGGTGGGGGGAGGTCCACATTCTTTCACTTTTTGAATAAGGCCTTCTGAAAGGCTTTTATTATTTAGTTGATAGACAAATTAAACACCGGGATTTTATAACAAAAAGATGCTTTGCAATTGTGCAACACTGCTGTATTTGGAAAACCGTATTTGCAATCTGGCATATACAATCTGCTCTCTTATAACACGGTAGTTGCCTTCTTGAAGAACACCGCGTTATGGTAAAATCGCGTTGTAATAAATAATATATATCATACTGGCAGGAAGTACCCGGCGTTGCCCGGGGGAAAATATATATATTTGAAAACTTATCTCAAAAACATAACATGTACATACGCAAATGCGAAACTATTGTGAAAGTGCAGCGTTCCGTTTGTCTGTCCATTTGTCCATCAACATAATTATAAGAGGCTTGCAAAAGTCCTGAATCGAAAAGTAATAGAAAGTGGCAGGTAAATAGTTGATCTAAAAGGTTTCCGAAAATTGTCGACCCCCCTCTCAAAAATATGTTTACCCCCCCCATAGGCATATATATCTATACACGCTACATACAAAAGAGTGAGTAGTTTCTTGTGACTCTATAGTAGTATCTGGCTCTACAGTAGTATCTACTGACTCTGTAGTTGTATCTACTGACTGTACATTAGTTATCTACTGAGCATAGTAGTAGCTACTGACTGTATAGTAGTTACTGCTGACTGTAGTAGTATCTGCTGACTCTATGGCAGTATCTGCTGACTCTATAGCAGTCTCTGCTGACTGTAGTATTATATACCGACTCTATAGTAGTATTTACCAACTAAAGTAGCAACACTGACTCTACAGTAGTATCTAGTGAATCTATAGTAGTATCTATTTACTCTATAGTAGTATCTACTGACTATAGTAGTAACCACTAACTCTATAGTAGTATCTGCTGACTCTATAGCAGTACGTACTGACTCTATGGTAGCATCTACCGACTCTGCAGTACTATCTCCCGACTTTACAGTAGTTTCTACTGACTACAGTAGTATCTACCGACTATAATAGTATATATCGACTCTATAACAGTAGCTACTAACTTTACAGTAGTATATACTGACTATAGCAGTAGCTAATAACTCTACAGTAGTGTAATGAGAGAGCGCCATCTAAGGGACGACGAGGGGTACTTGCATAGTCACCACTGGGTAACTAATACTCAATCAGATGGTAGGGTTCCATCTGGGCCGAAGGTAACGGGCAGAGCTAATGCATATGTACGGGAACCTTCGGGAAGGTTCCACGAGGGGTCGTGGCTAGAGGCGGACCTTCCTCCGCCGACCGGAATATAAGAAGAGGCAGTGGGAGGACTCAAGGTCGGTGTGGAAGCCTGGAGACTGGACTGCATCATCACCTCTATTCACCACCGGCCATGTGGCGGGCTCTGTCAGTGAAGCCTTCTCTCCTCCCAGCACGCTGCCAGCCAGCAGCAAGCGTAGAGAGAGAGAGACACGCCGCGACGGTGGAAGAGGGAGAGCGCGCGTCACGGCAGTAGAGAGAGAGAAGGAAGCCATCCGGAAAGAGAGAGCAGAGCTGTGCAGTAGTTGTTAATAAAAAGGACGCCAGTCAGCAGTTGTCGTGGAAGTGCTTTATTACAACTGGAGTCAGAAGTGGTCCTTCTAGAGACAAGAGAGTACAACTGAAAGCGAAATATCCAAGCATCTAAAGAAGAAGAACCCACCTGTGGAATTTTCTGACGACGACGAGGCTGGTGAAGTCACCACGCCAGAGACGGACGGTGCAGCTGCAGCATCTTCGTCACAATGGGCAGAGAACGGCTGGAAACAGGTGGAGGAGCAGCTGGACTCGCTCCGGACGGTGCTTCTCCAGCTGGTGTCACTTGTCACATCGTCTACAGTGACGGGACACCCACAGGAGGGTTTGCCGAGGGGTGACGAGCAGAGGCTTCGGGATAGAGCCTCGGAGGGTCCCCCTGCGGAGTTGACGGTCGCCATTGCAGGCGCGGGAGAGCTGTCCACCATTACACACGCTATGGAGACCATCTGGCGGCCCATCGAGATGTTTGCGGGACGCCGCAATCTTGGGCGGTGCTGTTGAGGCACGGTTGGAGTCCGCGATTTCTGTGGAGCCTCGTGGTGCACAGCCGGTGGAGGCTGCTGCTGTTGGACGGAACGGAGCCGGGCTCAGCCACCATCTTCCTCAAGTCAAGAAATTTGTCGCTGCAGGCTGCGATTGGAGCGCTTTCACTTGGTGCTTCGAGGCGGCGTTCCAGTCAGTGCACTGGTTGGAGAAAGAGGCGTTGGTCGCTTTACCAACCGTTTTGGATGACGACGCGCTGGCGGTATTTCGATCGATTCTTCCTGAGAAGAAGAAAACATTGAAAGATGTGTACGTGCAAATGGCAGAGGTCTAAGAACCGCCCTCCGATACTCAACGAAAGTTCATGCAGCATAGGCGGGGGAGTTCCAAATCCCTCCTTGCCTACCGTAGCGTTGATGGCGTTGGCTGTGTCAAGCAAGAAGTCCTCAACTCACTGATTATGGGAAGAATGCTGGCTTTGGCAAGGGACATGGGGGTGGTTCTGCCTGCTTGCGGTCATTAGCTGCAAACATCTGGATGGGCCGCCAGATGCCTGAACGTGCACGAGAACCTACAACATTGGACGCAGATGGCTGCATGGACGGGGGATACTGTTCGCGACAGTGAGCCGAAGGGTTGGTCGCCAGTTAGTCATCCACAATCCAGACGATGCCCCTGCGGGGGGTGATCTTGCAGTGGCTGTTCCTCGTTGGGATCGACATTGGGGTGAAGTTCAACATTGCTGGGGGTTCTACGGCCCACGTCAGGGTGACGATGGGGCAGCTCGCTGGCCGGCTGTCACATGCTTCAGGTGTGGCCGGTTGGGCCACTTTGCGCGGGATTGCCGGAGTCGCCCTCGTTCTCCGACTCCGCCTGCTGCTCCGGCTCTGACTCCTTCGTCGACGGCCCAACATCTTCCCATACAGCTGCCTAGCCCTTGACTGCTGCTGCTGATGCCGACCCCATATGATCCAGCCCAGCAGCGACGGACTTCACCACCCTTCCGCTGACTGCCCTGCCTCCTGCCAAGTTGACCCATGCAGGGCTGGACACGGATGCAGGGGATGTTCTGGCGTCGCGGACCCGTTCAAAGATGCCCCAATTTCGTTAACGTTCATATGTGCCTTTGCCTGTGTTGGGTATTCGCCTTACTTCCTTGTTCTTTTTCGATTTAAAGCTTTCGTGACTGCAGGGATTCATCTTCTTGGTTCAATTGTATTTTATTGTTTTATTTTAATTATTTTATTATTTCCCTTCTACGTGACTTTACCGAAAGAACCAAGAAGATGAATTCCTTGTTCTTGCGTTCTTGCGGAGCTTGTTCCGCCGACCGGAATATAAGGAGAGGCAGTGGGAGGACTCGAGGTCGGTGTGGGAAGCCTGGAGTCCGAACTGCATCATCGCCTACCTCTACTCACCACCGGCCATGTGGCAGGCTCTGTCAGCGAAGCCTTCTCTCCTCCCAGCGCGCCGCCAGCCAGCGGCGAGTGTGGAGAGAGAGAGACACGCTGCGACGGTGGAAGAGGGAGAGCCCGCATCACGGCAGTAGAGAGAGAGAAGGAAGCCATCCGGAAAGAGAGAGCGGAGCTGTGCAGTAGTGGTTAATAAAACGGATGCCAGTCAACAGTTGTCGTGGAAGTGCATTATAACAGTAGTATATACTGGCTATAGCAGTAGCTACTAACTCTATAGTAGTATATACTGACTGCAGTAGTATCTACTATCACTACAGTAGTATATACCGACTATAGTAGTAGCTACTATCACTACAGTATTATATACTGACTATATAGTAGTATCTACTATAACTACAGTAATATATATTGACTATATAGTATCTACTATCACTGCAGTAGTATATACTGACTGTTGTAGTATCTACTATCACTACAGTAGTATATACTGACTATATCGTAGTATCTACTATAACTACAGTAGTATATATCGACTGTAGCAGTATCTACTACTATCACTACAGTAGTATATACTGACTGTAGTAGCTACTATCACTACAGTAGTATATATTGACTATATAGTATCTACTATAACTACAGTAGTAAATATTGACTGTAGTAGTATCTACTAACTCCACAGTAGTATATACTGACTATAGTAGTATCTGCTATCACTACAGTAGTATATACTGACTCTATACCAGTATATACTAACTCTACAGTAGTATTTACCTACTCTACAGCGGTATCGACCGACTCTATAGTCGTGTATACCGACTACATAATAGTATATATCGACTCTACAGTACTAGCTTAATAGTGCCGTGGTGAGGCCTAGTCCCGTGCAGAGCCCCCGGCCTTGCCTAGATTGCCCAGCCGGCCGAGGTGGCACCATCCCCCCACCTGCTCTACAGTAGTATGTACTGACTATAGTAGTATCTATAATAGTATCTGCAAACATTGGGGTGGGGGGGGGGGAGAGAAGAGGACATCAAACTGTGAATAATTTACCTTAGCGTTGTGTATTTTTTTTGCATTTATTACGCGAATGATACATTTTCCCCGCCCCCACCGTTCACGTGTGCTTTGCATGCCCAGATGCGTGCTTTGGTGCGCGCTCAGCGTAGTAATATAATAATAAATAGGAACAAATGGTTAACTTCACTAATTTATATTTGACAGATGGGAAAAAGAAATTGCGATTTGTCGGTTGGTGGGCTTATTGCGTCGTACGTGTGTAGTTTGTTGAAACGTAAAGCCAGCAGTTTGTGAGTTAAATGCCTCACAAGGTGTGTCCACACACATACAGACAGACGGACAGACAAAACATGACCTTTATAGGGAAGAAGGGTAAAGATAACGCGTGATATGCATATGAAGGCTGATCAAAGATTGAGTTGCGTAGGTAGCATCTAAAAGCACCCAGCAATCCCCCCTGCCGAGGCAGCTGTACAACCGCTTATTCCGTCTCGCACGACGTAGTTCTGTTCTCTCTATCGCATTATATCCAATTCGCATCCACTTGATAAAAAATATGTTCCCTCATACATTTATCGCGTTATAACCAATTCGCGTTATGAAAACATACGTTATAGGAGAATGGACTGATTATACAAATTTTTAAACAAAAATAAAACTTTTTTTTTTTATTTCTTTCAGGTTATATTGTGATCCAGAATTTTTGCTGTTAAATTTTCTATTCAGGTAAAATTCTCACCCTAACACAGCCACCTTACTCACCAAGCTCGAGGTTTTTGCTTTGCGATCTCCCATTAACATGCTAATCTTTCACATTAACATAGCCACCTCAGGGCGCCTGCCGTGGAGGCTGCTCAATGATCTTACATTATCATGCTAATTTTTACTGGACAGCCCTTTTATTGGTGGGAAAACCCACCACCATCGCGGTCGCTGCCCACCGTTTACATTAACATTGGCTGCTGACATTTGGGCTATGCCCATTTCAAACATTTATAAACAGTTTACCTTTAGAAGCTAACTTCTTCTTCCTGATGATGAACGCTTGTGTTGCGATCTAAACGTCATAGTTTTTGGTTATTTTCTTTGAACCTATCTACGTGACTTTACCGAAAGACCCAAAGAATATGAATTTCTGCAGTCACGAAAGCTTTAAGTCAAGAGTAAAATTTTCTCTCGAGAAAAACTCAATACAAAACGCAATGAAGTACAGGACCTATACGTTATATTTAATATCGTCCACAATTACCACGATTATTTGTACCTGCACAGTGTATAGTTGCTCTCGATTATAATGCCTGGTGCGTAGTCTGACACATTGAAGTAAGACAGTGTGTAGTTGACGTAGCCTCTCAGCGATCCATCAGGACTGTAGAAGTACATGTAGATCAGCCGTGGCACAAAATCTGAAGTCAGGGCAATTACTAGGGCCTGCAAAATGAACACAAGAGTAGATTACATGTGAATCGAGAGAGTACAGGTATGCAAAAAATGCTCACTATACACACAAATCCACAGTACAGGAGATCCTTGTATATGGCTGCTTTCTATTTCGTTGTTTTGACCGATCGTAGGCAATCTCTTTGTATATCAGTTTAGCTATCACGGGAGTTAGTTTTGGCCTTTCGTGGGTATACTGTACCTGGAATGACGGTATCATTGGCTGATACTGTGAGGTGGGGCGGTGCGGGGTGGGCGAGACAGTCAATGGCACCTCAACCTTTGCTGTGCAAGCATTTCGCCGACAGAAATAAAGACCCCCATATAGCCTATTAACAGACTGTTCGGGAAAATGCTGTTAGCAAGCACCTATGATGGCCGGCACAGAACACAAAGGGGTGGGTGGCCAGCACTACGCCCGGGTACCGCTTTTGTCTCCCATGTGGCGACATTTATACATCGCAGTGGGTACTCATTTAAGGCTGAACCGAGCTAGGGGAGGCCCAAGACCGGTTCAAATCATCGTCACTGGTCTTTGGGCGAGAGCAGGATTCAAACTCGGATCTCCGGGTTCGTAGCGCAGCACGCGAACTACTGGAGCACTTCCGCTCCCCACTCACGCACAGACAGACACACACACACCTCCTTTGGGTCATCATCATGGGTAAGAACAGTATTCAGTATTTATACTACTATTTATTGTTTAAAATGTTTTTGTAAAGGGTTTTTACGTGTTTATTTGAATTGTTTGATGTTTTGTTTATTTATAATACAGTGCAGTACTTATTTCAATTGTGATGACTATTTCTGGTTGCCGTTTAGCGAACCCCATTATTGAGGTAAGGAGACCCTGTAATGTAGCCCGTATTTTTTATTGCGTACTCTCCTATTTATATTCCAATTGTGCCATCGGTCTCATATTTAGAATTGTATTTTTTGGAACTCCCATAGTAAACAGGAGATTACCCTCATATCCCAGAACTGTTGCCTGATAAAATAATATATCAGACACTCTTTTAAACAAAATGGCCTATTTGGAGGGATTAACCCTAGTGAAATACAGTCTGTTCTATAACGCTGCGTGTTGTTTTCATAATGCGAATTGGACGTAACGCAATGAATGTATTAGGGAACACTTTTTTTTATAACGCGGATTAAAATGTACTACTATATTTACCCAAGAATGTCAGTGTGTAATGCGCGTGACGTCACTCTACGTCGACCAGCCCCCCTCATTAATAATCATGAACAGGTTATGTCCTCCAAACGGACACCCCTCGTTAATAATAATTAGCAGGTGACGTCAATCCACATGGGGGGTGCGAGGCGCCTCCTCCCCCCTCCTCAGCGTCAACTTATAACCCTCATGAAATAAGTCTGTGTCACCGCGGCCTTACAAATTGCACACGAAAGGATGCAATGAATATCACGTCGCGGTCTGATTTTCGCTTGCAAGTTTCAGATTTACTGCAATATACCCGTCCTTGGACAGGCAAAAGGCTAGTTGGATGTAATACCTTTGAGAGAACGGAACTACGTTACGTGAGTAGGAATAAGCGGTTGTAGCGGCTGCCTCGATGTGGCATCGCACAAGGCAGCGGGATGCTGCTGGATGCTTCTAGATGCTACCCACGTGCCTCAATCTTTGTCCAGCCTGAATACACATCTCACATGTTGTCACAGACTGTACTTAACCCTATGTTAAATATTATTTACCTTAATGCGATATTTCCATAACGCAATGTTCTTCAGGAACACAACTACCGCTTTATAGAACAGACTGCACCTTAATCCATATATAAAAATGAAGTACTGCTTCTTAGGTATACGAGGCAGTGCTAGTGATCTACGGCATGAAGAGCAGTGGAGGCTGCCTTGTATGCACAGTTGCGAGTGGCGTGCCACTTAAATTTGAGCTCTGAAACATTTACTTATACAATTTATTTTCCTTTAAACAAGGAGCTCATAAATACAAAGTTGGCATTTCAAATTTAACTCAGATAGACTAAAAATTAATTAACCCAAAAAATGCCCACGCAAATTAATTGTACATATCGGCATCTCAGTGGCTGAATCAAACCACTCCCATGGAGTTTCACAAAGGGCGCTCTGATTTCCGCCTTTGCTATTAACAGGTACAGACATCCTTCCTCTAACACATCCGTCAATCAATGCATCTTTATTTTACGTGCCAATGTGGCCCTCAGTAAAGTAGGCATCAGTGTACATTACACCTCATAATTTTAACTATAAAAGTAAACCAGATATAGAAAGCACGGGAATTTCATTTAGATTTGTTCATCGTACATATATTGTCAATGGAACTGTAAAAATGCATTTTCGGATCATATAATTGCTCATTATATTTATATAACATGAGCAGAATTATCATGGAAAATTATAGTTTTTTTTTACATGGTTGTGGTGAGTACTCACATTAATGATCACTGCCAGCTTGGCTACTCCATTCAAGATGACATACCATGTACCTGCAATACACAACATGTAAACCCACTCAATAAGCATGTGTAAACCACATGCACTTAAAACAAGGTGAAAAAGTTCAATACGCATACCACATAAAAGCAACATACATCACAAGCCTTTGCAGGATATTAAACCCAGACTTAACAACTGAGGTATCAAACTTGATTTGGAGCTTTCGTGACTGCAGGAATTACTCTTTGGTTCTTTCAGTAAAGTCAGGTAGAAAGAGAAAATAATAAATAAAATAATAGCATACGACGTTTCGATTGCAACATAAGCAATCATCATCATGTACAAATGAACGAGAAAACAAGCCTAGTAAACTTAGAAATATAATCCAGAGAGGGGGGGGGATAGAGAAATTAGCATGTCAATGAGAGATTTAGTAAAATTTGGAAATGCAATGCAACACAGACTCTCTGTGTTGCATTGCATTTCCAAATTTGCGTGTTTTCTCTCTCTTTGTCTCCCCTCGTGTTGTTGCTCTATTATTTACTGCAGTCACGAAAGCTCCAAATCTCTCATTGACATGTTAATTTCTCTACCCCCCCCCCTCTCTCTGCCCCCCTCTATTTAAGGCCTCAACACAGAGGAGTTGTTTCTCTGTGTGCCTATATGTGTGTCTCTCTCTATGTGTCTCTGTGTTATCTCTCTCTGCTTATGTGTCTGTCTACAGTGAGGAAAAAAACGTATTTGATCCCCTGCTGATTTTGTACGTTTGCCAACTGACAAAGAAATGATCAGTCTATAATTTTAATGGTAGGTTTATTTGAACAGTGAGAGACAGAATAACAACAAAAAATCCAGAAAAACGCATGTCAAAAATTTTATTAATTGATTTGCATTTTAATGAGGGAAATAAGTATTTGACCCCTCTGCAAAACATGACTTAGTACTTTGTGGCAAAACTCTTGTTGGCAATCACAGAGGTCAGACGTTTCTTGTAGTTGGCCACCAGGTTTGCACACATCTCAGGAGGGATTTTGTCCCATTCCTCGTTGCAGATCTTCTCCAAGTCATTAAGGTTTCGAGGCTGACGTTTGGCAACTCGAACCTTCAGCTCCCTCCACAGATTTTCTATGGGATTAAGGTCTGGAGACTGGCTAGGCCAATCCACGACCTTAATGTGCTTCTTCTTGAGCCACTCCTTTGTTGCCTTGGCCGTGTGTTTTGGGTCATTGTCATGCTGGAATACCCATCCACGACCCATTTTCAATGCCCTGGCTGAGAGAAGGAGGTTCTCACCCAAGATTTGATGGTACATGGCCCCGTCCATCTTCCCTTTGATGCGGTGAAGTTGTCCTGTCCCCTTAGCAGAAAAACACCCCCAAAGCATAATGTTTCCACCTCCATGTTTGACGGTAGGGATGGTGTTCTTGGGGTCATAGGCAGCATTCCTCCTCCGAACACGGCGAGTTGAGTTGATGCCAAAGAGCTCCATTTTGGTCTCATCTGACCACAACACTTTCACCCAGTTGTCCTCTGAATCATTCAGATGTTCATTGGCAAACTTCAGACGGGCATGTATATGTGCTTTCTTGAGCAAGGGGACCTTGCGGGCGCTGCAGGATTTCAGTCCTTCACGGCGTAGTGTGTTACCAACTGTTTTCTTGGTGACTATGGTCCCAGCTGCCTTGAGATCATTGACAAGATCCTCCCGTGTAGTTCTGGGCTGATTCCTCACCGTTGTCATGATCATTGCAACTCCACGACGTGAGATCTTGAATGGAGCCCCAGGCTGAGGGAGATTGACAGTTCTTTTGTGTTTCTTCCATTTGCGAATAATCGCACCAACAGTTGTCAACTTCTCACCAAGCTGCTTGGCGATGGTCTTGTAGCCCATTCCAGCCTTGTGTAGGTCTACAATCTTGTCCCTGACATCCTTGGAGAGCTCTTTGGTCTTGTCCATAGTGGAGAGTTTGGAATTTGATTGATTGATTTCTTCTGTGAGCAGGTGTCTTTTATACAGGTAACAAGCTGAAATTAGGAGCACTCCCTTTAAGAGTGTCCTCCTAATCTCAGCTCGTTACCTGTGTAATGCGAGCATAAATGGGGTTTGCTGCTGGGCTCTGGCTCGATCACACTGGCCGGGGTATTGGGGGGCGGAGCCAGTATGGGAAGGCCGGATCTGACGATCCGAAGGGGAGGAGTCAGGATCACGTGGGAAACAGGATATAAGGGGGAGCCCGGAAGGGATCGGGGTCAGTTGCGGGAGTAAGAAGGCTGAGCCACGTTGGGTGGCGAGAGGGGATCCGTGCCATCGGCCACGAGGCCGAAGGACCTTCAGCACGCCGTCAGCCAGCGGTGTGCGGAGTGAGGAAGTGGAGGAGCTATTGGAGGAGCGCGCGTGAGCGCGCGCGAGGTGACGCTGGTCCGCTATCAGGACCAGCAGGGTGTGAGGAAGAGCGGAGGAGTTGACGAGGGAGCGCGTGCGGGGTGCGCGCGAAGAGAGGAGCTGACGAAGGAGTGCGTGCGGGGCACGCGCGAGGAGTGTGTGGGGCGCGTGCGGGCTGGAGAGGCTAATCCTAAAGCTGGGCATACTGCTCTAGTACGCTGGGTGGGGGGGAGAGGGTTGGGGGGACAACTCTGCACGATCAAAACACTGCACGTCAAATTTCCTAGTGATGGTAGTGTGCAAGGCTGAAAGTAAAAGGCTGGGGATGTGGATATGAATATAAACTATAAGGCAGCTAAGGTTTAACTTGGTTAATAATATCCTTCCAATGATTGCTCAATTTGAATCCATCTTCTCGGTTGAAGTTATGTCTATGTTTGTATATCTGGATGGCTTCATGGACAAATATTTGGTGGTATCCAGACGGCTTGCAGAGCACTTTGGTATCAGAGAAAACAATATCATGAGAGCCCACCACGTTGTAGCAGTGGTCAGCCATGGCGGAAGAGTTTGTCCTGCCGTGTTTCAAATCTGCCTTGTGCTCTATGTTGTTATAATAATTTATCCCATTAAAATGTGTACATTAGTTTGTGGGTTATTGTGTACATAATAAGGAATGCTAAAAATAATAATCTTCAAAAAAGTAAACTTTGAAGCATTTTTTTATTCAAGCAATTTTAAAAGAACGACTTAAACATGAAATAAACTTTCAGGAGTGCTAACTCAGAAATTCTCCTTTTGCATGGTTCCAATAGTTACAATGGCAGCTTCCACTGAGTTAAGTCCAGTAGCATGCTGAGACCAAGGGAAGAGTGTGGCAATGAGCCAGATTAAATGCTCAGGCCGTGTGTTTGTTTCTGTGGGTATGAAGCCCGCACCGCTGCGGTTGGCGCGTCCCATACACAATATCGCAGCATGCACTTCCCACATACCAAAGCCCCTTTGGCGGTTGCTCATGATGGCCTGGCAGCATAAACGTTACGATTTTAACTTCTTGTCATGTACACGACGCATCATCCTATCCTCTTGCTTTTTTCTACATTGTTTTTCAATACTGTCTGCCGTATTTTTTTTATCTGAGTTATTTTTTGTTCCTAACCTTGTTTCAAATACCTTATCAAATTGGTAATTTTTTACAATACGTTACCACTTTTTCAACTATTTACTTCATGTTCTACTCCAGTAACTTTGATTATTAAATACCTTTCTGTTCATTCTCATGCACACTCGAGCAGCTAAATTGGCAGGTGATAAAGAGGAAGATAAACTTCGCCCTTCATTTAACGATTTATGGAGCATTTATTTACGTACCCATTCAGCGGCACATCGTTTAGTCATTTGCCAAGCCTACTATTCACAGAGGTACTCGGAAGTCTTAAAATTATTTTCGGTAAAATAAATGACTTACCAATGTCCTTGGCTCTCACGGCTGTGGGTCGCCGCAGTTCCGTCACAAACTTTTTCCCATCCAGACGAATCTCAATTACGTTGTTCAACAACGCAAAGAAGGGTGCCAGTGGAAAGGAGGCCACAAACAGTGTGACGAAGCCAAACTGGATCACTGGAAACACAGCACAAGGCAAACATGAGGGAAGCAAAAAGCCCGCAATTTTAATTGTACGGAAACATGTTTATGCATTACTCAAAAAAATATCAGCAGTTCCTGAAGAAGTGCATTGTGGTCCTCTTGGGTCACCCTAAACGTTGTGAGCAAATATGACCGATTTACAGGTGCGGTATTTTGGTGGTGACCTAAGACTGGACCATAATACACATATTCAGGAACTTCTGATGGATTTTTTTTTGTAATGCACATAGGCTGAGTGCTTTTTACATGTGTTTGTGTGGTTTGAAAGTTACGATTTCCAGGCCTGCACTATTGTTGCTTTAAACAAAGGGAGAATTAAAAAAATGAATCACTTCTTTTTTTGGCATTTCGAATTGAACTCGGATCGACTGAAAATGAAAAACATGGTTTTGATCGTTTTTTCTCATCCTTTACACATTTGATGAATACATTTTACTAACTTTGTGAGATTTCTAGGCCCAGGCATACTCTGGTCAAGAAAACACGAGGTTTGCCGTATTATTAATTGTATAAAACATCACTTAAATTAAAATCACCGAACAAGGAACTGAAGATGTATCCACTGGCAGAGCCAGTGGGGGGGGGGCGGGGGGGTACGTGCCTCGATGAGATGATAGGACAATAGTCTGAGTCCATAATTGGCAATAAGTAACGGCAAATCAGTTATAAGTGACTCACAGAATTGTGCACAGTTGAATATATAATACACGACTTCCCTGAAGGCATACCTTCAGCGAGCGCGATGCCGATCACACACGGTTAGAATTCGACCCTCGATCGATGGCTGCACCATCGCCGCACACGCGTCGAATAAAAAGCATAGGACAAGTCTTCACTTACTAACAACTCCTATCATTTTTCATTGCTGGAGGGGTCTTCCCCCCTACCTGAAAATCCTGGCTCTGCCATTGGATGTATCCACACAAATAATATACTCTTCTTGGTTCTTTCGGTAAAGTCACGTAGAATGTAAATAATAAAGTAATAAAAATACAACATAATAAAATAATTGTCACGACGTTATTATGTTTTATTTTTATTATTTTATTATTTCCATTCTACGTGACATTACCGAAAGAACCAAGAAGATGAATCCCTGCAGTCACGAAAGCTTTAAATCAAAAAATAATATACTGTCAAAAAAGTAGAGGTCACGTGAGAACCGTGAGCAATTGCAATTTATTTGGGTCAAAGGTAGAGTTGAACATCTTGAAGTAGTTTTTGTATACAATATACCGTACATATGTGTGGTTTTGTGTGATGGGAGCTTTTTGGCTTTCACCTGCCTTTGTGGAAAGGGTCCCCATATCACAATTGGTATTGTGGCACCAATGTTTCTTTAAGTATTTATTTTTGTTCATAATATTGTAATAAAGCTTTTTGAGACGACTTCTGGAATCCGTCTTTTATTCACTTTAGGTTACAGCTACTTCACGCTGATAATAGGCAACGTAAAGGGACAGATAGACCGACAGAGACGCACTGCCACGTGGCAACTCGGAGCCCCGCTCCCGCGTGGCCCCCTCCTTCATTGTTTCCCATTCTGACCACGTGTCGTTCCTCTCTACCCCTATTTAATACCCGGGTCACGTGGTACGCTTCAGCCAATCCTCGTTAGCCTGCATCGAATCTTCCAGGCTCCCTCGTCAGCTCCCGGGACCACGCCCCTGACTCATCTCCCCATTGGCTGAGGCCAAAGCCAGCAGAACCAATCTCCATAGCTGTCACCCTTCCATCACGTCAGGGCCATGCCCCCAGGCTTCCCCCCCATTGGCTGTAAACCAGGACCGGCAGAGCCAATCACCATGACAAGTTGCGATACATCAGTGAGCCAGATATATTCTCATATTACAATATTACTACATTGACATAGCTGTCAACTCATACGGTTTATCCGTATTCTTGTACAGGGAAATACGGCGATCAGCCAATTCAATATGGGGAAATTGTTTTGTTTTGTCTATGTGTTTGTGTTTCTCCCTTGTGATGGGACTTTGTAGGATGAACTTTGACATGTAAAAGGGCACGGAGTGACCAATAGGTCTGAATTGGTATGTAATAAGATAGGCACTGATAAGGGGTTAACAGGTATGCATTGAATACATCAGAGTCACAGAATTAGAAATGTAGCTTTCTAGTTTTGCTTAAAAATACAGAATAAAGTTTTCTGGGTGTGAATTTGTTCTTCTTAGCTGATTAAAGCAGTTGTATTTTACCTTACTTGTCTTAGCAACTACCTTGGGCACCAGTTTAATGCATATGAGAATGCATTGATTCATTGATGATGTTAACCTCATGCACGATACATGCATTGAATAATTGATTCAATTCATTAGAGTGTGAGGGTGGCTAAACAGTTCTTGAAAAACAAGGCTGTTCGGTAATGAATGTATTTTGATATGTTTCCTTTATTGATAATGATGATGACTTTATAAATACTATTTCATAATAATATGTATGAACCATTTTAACACCAACCAGTTTGTGTGCAAGATAAACTTCCAGGTGACTGCCTGAACAGAAAAAACGTTACTCACCTGATATTATCTGCTCCTAATTTGCCTTAAGTTCACATTTGGTTTTTTTACAAAATATGGCAGCAACGTTCGTGAGAATACTACGGGTGACATTGCAGCTATTGCTGTAAATCAATAACTGATAACGTGAAGGCGTATTGGATACCACCTGTTGTATGTAAGTCATTTTGATTACCCATTTCCATGTACTCTGGATTGAGCCCAGTGAATGGCTCCAGCTCATAGTCCTTGCATCCCAATTCCATCCCATCCTCTTCCGTTAGGTGGCTCGCCTTTTTGTGCTGATCCTTCTTGTGCAGATAACGGCAGAGCTTCTTAATTTTTCTGTTCAGAAGAGCGGGGACAGCCAAACCTACACTGAAGTTAAGCTTAGTGGGTGCAACTTTACAACATGCAACGTTTTGTAACTCAAATGTTGCACAATATAGCGTTATTTGTTTTACTTTGTTGATATTTTTGTACCAGTAACACATTCCAATGTTACCATTCTGACCCTGATTACAGTTACAAAGCATCGTTTTGGGGATTAAATTATGCACTCTGGTTCAGAACGGTAGTAAAATTATGCTAAAATGTGCAACCCGCATTTGAAAAACACATTTTGTATACACATTCACGCAACGACCTTTTATTTGAATAAAGAACAAATAATACATGAAGTTGGTGGAATTTTTTGGAGATTCCTGGAAAGTCAAATATTTTTTTATTGCAAAAGTGCACACGCAGAGTTCATACTCACGGGATGCCAACCTCAAACAGGTTGTTTTGGAGGAGCTGTTTACCCAGCATGATGATACAGAGCTGCAGGGCAAGCTCCTGAAGACATCCACCTGGGGCACACTGTGGACAGCATACACCACTCAGTGGGTGTTCATCAGTAATAATATCTTCAAGGAGGCATTTTCGTCTGTATGTTGCCAGTGCTATAAGTGATAGTCACATATATAAATATAACCAGAACTCACTCCATCCGCAGCGTTTTTATAGGTTCACAGTTTGGTTTTGGGAGCCTGCCCTGGTTAATACTGTGGTGTATATTAACAATAAAAAGTTATTGCATCTGATTCACAGTCGATGTTAAAGATCCAAGGTATTCGAAGAAGAGTAGGCCCATTTGTGTGCCGGCATCATGGTCCACGTTTTAAAGTGATTTACTCTACTGGCACCACGTACAGTGTGCGGTGCGGGCTCCCGGTGAGGGAGCGAGAGGGAGTGTCAGCCAGCCAGGCTTATGTTGAGGCGTGATACACGTGACCAGATGATATTGGAGGGGGGCCACCGGTGGATGGGGGCCATTGGGCGGTCACATGGGAAAAAGGAGCTCTCGGGAGCCTTCAGGAAAGAGCTCGAGAGATCTAGAAGGTGGGCGGGGCGAGGGGCGGAGCCAGCCCCAGCCCAGGCCGATATAATGGGGGCCTCGTGAGGGGCTCGGGGTTCTTCGGGTGGTTGGTGAAGAAGATCCACGTCGGGTTGAAGAAGTCTCTAGCCACGTGGTCCGGGACCCAGCTCGTGGTCCGGACCAGGAGCGTGGTTAGATGGTCGTTCAACGCCCATCTAACCACGCGTGTGTTGAGTTGGTGTAATAAATAGTGTTGCTCCCAAGACAACGTCTGCGACTCAGTTGGACTCACTACACTTTTATGCTGTGTACAATCCTAGTTATAACCGTAGAACACTGTGGCCGATGCATTTTGTGGTTTAGTTGCTGAATGTGCACATTGCAGTGAAGGGAATCCTGTACAGTAGTGGGATTTCCAGCTTGGGATGTTTTTCCTGGTACTCTTTGGATCTTTGATAAGTTCCTTTGGTTGCGACTGAAGAAACTCTCTTGAGGCAACGCACAGTTCTTAAACGCAACGGTTGTGAAGGTGTTGCTTTTCTTTGGTCTCTTAAACTGACCATTATAAATTGAGTGCCCACTGCCTTTCGTGCCAATCACTTCCTGCGCAGAGCTAGTCTTTCACGCAAAATAAATCGCCACCTTTTTTTATAAGGGACATTTTTTTAAAATCAGGATTTGTTTCACCCTCACCAGAAACGTCCCTGCTGGGGTTGAAAACCTCAAGGCCTTTCCAGGGAAGAAAATACATTATTCCTAATGTTTTATGTCATGATGAAACCCACCATTATAACCAACTGGAAAGAGCATGATCCACGAACACTACAGGAATGGGCCAATACATTTTCAGAAATTGCCGCTTTAGAGGATCTAAAACTAAGGGTCAGGGAGGAGGCTTACCACCAAACATGGAACCCATTCACTACCTCTCCTCCAGAGGGCATTGATTTTTAAGAGCATTCATGAGGGCATTTAGGCACTTCCTCCCTCCCCCCCCCCCTTTTCAACTCCTACAGGGGTACCAGGGCAGACACCAGCGGGTTGGAGAGTTTATTGAAGCATTTGATTGAAACATGCGGTGTAGACAGGTTTCCATTGCACTGTAATCCGTAATGTGTTTGTGCAAGAGCTGCCATTTCATATTCATATATTTGTAGGTAATGTGTTGAACAAATAAGATGATGATACAGATCCTAACCAAATATATAAAGACTCTCTGCCTCAGTGTTAAATATTAAACTGTGTGCATTTTAATAATATTTTATTGATAGTTACTCTTAAAAATATTAGGTGACATGTCATACCTCTTCCATGCGATAATTAGGTAAAATGTAGTAGTATTTCTTGGGATAACCGGTTATTCTGTAACAGAGGCAAGTATGACACGTGAATAAAGTACTGTACAATCTTAAAAACGAATTCAAACGCAAAAAAATATATCATACACTGGAAGATGTCCTGTAAATGTATGATGTACTGCTATCAATATCACAAAAGCATGAACAAATTATTCAATGATCAGTACAACATTTATTTATTTTGTTGAAATCTTCAAATTCTTGCCATAACTATATTCGCAACCTAAAATATTATCAAAAATGTAAAACTATTACAAACTATTTGTTTAGCAATTTCCCTCTTCAATTACCTACATTCAAGTACTGTATAGGGAAGATTGTGAACTACGAATGAATGTTGATCATTTTTGTTTAAAATAAAACCTGTGACAAAATAACGCAATATTTATTTGACTTTTTGCAACTTACCTGCCCTTGAGGAAGGCCACGTATATGATGCTGGTATAGGAGTTGACAAACTTCAACATGAAGGACTTGAAAATTAGCCGGGTTTCAAATTCTTCCTCCGTTTTTGGAACCTCTGGAAAGAGATGAAAGTCGCAGGACGCTGGGGTTGTGGACATGGTGTGGAGAGTCCACAGGGCTCCTCTGGCCAGCGGGGACAGGGGCGGCCCTAGACGAGCTGCCAGCAACTGGCGCCCCCGAGGGAAAACATGTTGCCCCTATTTTCCATTTAATGTTTTTTGTAAACGTATTTTTTAAACAGAGGCATAGTTATACGTTTGTCCGTCCATCCGTCCATCCGTCCATCTGTCCAATAAAATTTCATAAAAGTTGAGAAATGGATGATAATGCATATTCCCTCTGTACGCGCACGGGAATTGAAATAATCACATCTTCGTTATTTTATTTGTATATTTTGTATTTGTATTTTTCCCTTGAATTTGGCGCCCCGCTTAACTTGGCGCCCTAGGCGACCGCCTAATTAGCCTATATGGACGGCCGGCCCCGAGCGGAGATTATCTATAGCCCCTGCGAGCGAAATTAAGGGGGCAGTCTTCTACAAATGCTGAAGACTACTCACATCCATCAGTGTGAACACAGTTCCACCACCATCGTCGTCGTCGTACAGTTGTAATTGCTTGCAATGTGGGTTTCCGTAGACAATACAATGATCCATATGTTGAAATAATGACATCCAAATGTGTTCGTGGGTTAGACCACGTAGTGGTGTTATGCCAAAATATATTGTCATTAACCCTCCACCACCCTACAAGATTGTTACATTTCAATAGATAAATTATACGTGCCTATTTAAAATGATCAAATGCTGACCAACACCCAGCAGTGTCTGAAACATTTTCTCGACCGAATCTAACATCAAACGTACGACATTTAATCGAACCACTTTGAGCTAATTTCTGGGTAGTGCACCCAGAAATCACTGAAAGTGCCAGCAAGCTGGGACATGGCTATAACCCCCCACGACCTACACAGGGTAAGGAGACCCTCATCCAGCAGTGGCTTGATAAAGGAGCTGTACACGCAGGAGCGCATAATTATGCATTGTGAATAATAATGAATGATGCGATCGTGCATGTACAAACAAACATAGGACAGTGGCACAGCGTGTTTGAGGTTCGCGTGCAAGTTAAACTTTTTTTTTACCAGGTAAGGCCCACTGAGCTACATAGCTCTTTTATCAGAAGCGACCTGGCCACAAACAATAGCTCAACGACGTGGCTTATCATGTTGAAATTTGTAGCACCCAAATACTCTAAACGCTTGTTTTTAAATGTGGAGCAAAAAACCGGAGGACCCGGAGAAAAATCCACGCGACCATGGGGAGAACATGCAAATATACAGGTACCAGGGTTGGGATCGAACCTACGACCTCCTGTATTCCAGGTGAGGTAGTTCAAGTTACCTTCTGTATACCAGGTGAGGTAGTATAAAGTTACCTTCTTGAAGATGAACTAGTTAAAGCTTATTCTCAAGAAGGTAACTTCATACAGTAATGTGTGATATGTCTAAACTGAAGGTTTAAAATGGAAATTGTTACATTGTAGTACAACATTTATTGTAGCTAGTGTGCTTTTTGATAATTTGTTTAAGTAATAAAATAAACGTTTCATAGCCAATGATGCCATGTAATGTCTAACAAGACAACAGGGCATATACTGAAATACAGAAGAGCATGACATGTTGTCTCATGTGTAAAACCACTGAAAAATAGGCGTCCAGGTGTAACTATAGCTCAAATCACATGTGCGGCGAATATCTCTTCTTATTTTGATGCAAGCATGCTGGTGTCATCACTGCCAAAAATATTAGACATGTTGCCAAGGCGACATGTTCGCCGGTTATGTAAAGACTAGCCTTTTGCCCGTCCAAGGACGGGTGTATTTCACTAAATCTGAAACTTGCAAGTGAAAAGCAGACCGCCACGTGATATTAATCGCATCAATTGGTGTGCAATTTGTAAGGCTGCGGTGACACAGACTTATTTCATTAAAGGTTAACTTCTCTTGTTCATCATGACGTCCTTTTTACTTCTATGTCTCAATATCGTTATGGAGATCATGTGACGTGAGGGTTCTGCCTTTATAGTGAAGGTTGTAAGTTGACGCTGAGGAGGGGGGAGGAGGCACCTCGCCCCCCCATGTGGAGTGACGCCACCCGCTAATTATTATTAATGGGGGGGGGGGGGGGTGTCCATTTGGAAGACGTCACCTCTTCATGATGATTAATGAGGGGGGATGTTCGATGTGGAGTGACGTCACCTGCTCATGATTATTAGTGAGGGGGGGATCCATGTGGAGGACGTCACCTATTCATGGGTCTTTCGGTAAAGTCACGTAGATAGGGTCAAAGAAAATAACAAAAATAAGAAAAAACCACGACGTTTCGATCACAACACAAGCAATCGTCACCAGGAGAAAAAAGAGCTGGAAAGCTGCTGAGGCAGGCTGTTTTAAAGGTTTGAAATGGGTGTCGCCCAAGGGTCATAAACGACGTGGGTGGAGCTAGTGATGTTAAAGTGAGAAATTTGCATTGTAATGTAAGGTCGGAGAGCTACCTCCACGACGACAAGGCACGGAGGTGGCCATTGTATTGTGAGAGATTAGCATGTCAATGTGAGATCGCAGAGCCACCGCCACATCGAGGACACGAGCGATGGCGGCTGTGTTAGTGTGTGACATTTAACCTGTTAATGTAAAACCAGAGAGTCGAAAATAACTACTAACATTGGAAGGTAGGATGGAAACATCACAGCCAGTTATGACTTAAACTGGTTAATAAAGTCCCTCCTATGATTGCTCAGTTTGTACCCATCTTCTCGGTTGAAATTGTGTCTGTGTCTACATATATATGGATGGCTTCATGAACGAATCTTTGTTGATAGCCAGTGGGCTTGCAAAGTACCTTCGTCTTAGAGAAATACATTTCCTGTGAGCCCACCGCAATTAAACAATGATCAGCCACGGCCGAGGTATTGGTCCTATCGTGTTTCAGATCTGCCTTATGTTCAAGAACACGGTCCGAGACATGTCGCTTAGTTTCCCCAATATAACTATTGCGGCAGACACAGCTTAGTTTGCAGACGCCGGGGTATTGCATGTCAGGGATCACATCCTTCACAGATGGGATCAGATCACGAATTTTAAGTACTGTTTAAATCAAACCTGAATCTTGTGTTTGCTCATGATTTTGGAAATCTTTTTAATCCTTTTAATCACCCCTGCTATGTATGATGGTTTTGGTTTAAATTGGGTCCTCAGATGGTTCTTTTCCAACGGTTGGGGTGATAGCTTTATGGATTATGTTGTCTGAATATCCATTCATCTTGAGAGCTTGGTGTACGTGTTACAGTTCATTGGCTAGGTGATGACGGTCAGAAATACATCGAACTCCATGGTGTACATTTTTTACGACAGAATTCTTCTGGGATGGATGGTGGTGGGAGTCAGGTTTTAGGTAGGCTTTCCTGTAGACAGAGTGTCCCATTGAGCCATCTGGTCTCTTTCCAATTAAAACATCCAATAATGGTAACTTGCCATCCTTTTACACCTCATACTCTTAGGTTTTCTCGGTAAAGTCACGTAGGGAAGTACATAAATAAATAATAAAAGATAAATAATAAAAATAGAAGAAATAATAGAAATAAAAAATCACGACGTTTCGGAGGCAACACAAGCTTTCGTCTTCAGGTGGAACCGTCACAGCACGATTGCTGTATCAAGTAAAGAGAAATCCCAAGAGACCCGACCTGGTTGAGGGGGGAGGAGACAGGGTAGGCCCCTGGAGAAGAGTTTTTTTATGATAAGGTTGGTACGGCTGCGGCTGCTGCTGGGACTGAGCCTTTGTTATGTAGACTGGTTGAGCAGGGAGAAGCAATCTAGAACTTTTACACCTCCATGGTGAATTTGATGGTTGGGTGTGTAGTGACATAAGAAGGGAGGGGCTGCTGGGGTCTCTGGGACCCTGGGTGGGCCAGGCGCTTAAACCTCTTGGCACCAGGCGTTGGGTTCCCAGGCGGGTCCAGACGCTTAAGCCTCTTGGCACCAGGCGTTGGGTTCTCAGGCGCTTAAGCCTCTTGGCGCCGCCAACGGGGGGGGGGGGGGGGGGGGGGCTGTGTGTGCTCTGTGGGATGTCTGGTGGCGCACACGGCCCCACCCCTCGTTGGACCAGGCATAAAAGGGGAGCTCCCTGGACGATCAGGGCCCAGTCGTAGCTCAAGACCCAAGACCCAAGACCAACCATCGGAGGACCCTGGGACGCTGTGAGAGCCAGTGGTGGGACTCTGGAACTCCCAACTCTACGACCTTGTAAGGGCGAGTTCCAGAGCGTAGCCAGAGTAGAGTATCTAGGCTGTGTACCTAGGCTGTGTACATAGGCTGTAACAGAGTATCAGGAGTGTTGGAGAGTTGGGCTGTTGGAGAGTGTTGGGTTGTAATAAACAAGTTACCTCTACAAGTGTCTCCGGAACCCGTTACATTAGGCGTCAGAAGTGGCTATGGAGACAAGAAGTAAGCCACGTACCTTCAGTCCTGACGGCGATGTCGAGGAGCAAGCAGCGATGGGGCGGCCAACGCCGGCCGACAGCGACGCTGCACCGCCGGCCGACAACCACGCCGCACCGCCGGCTGAGCAGCTGTCTGCTCCGCCGACCGTCCCCTCTCCAGCGTCGGGAGCAGGGATGGAGAAGGCGCTGCTTCACCTCGCAGAGCTGCTCTGCGCCACCGCCTCCCTCCTGGGCGGGATGCAGTGCTCGCGGCCGATGGCGGGAGGGAGAGAGGAGGCGCAGCGCTCGCCCGAGCCCGCCGCCGCCATTTCCGCCACCGGCATTCCCCCCACGGATGTGGGAGATGCTTCCGGGTGTGTCGTCACTTCTGCCGGGGGAGCAATGACCGCTGGGAGCAACGTCACTTCCGGGCCCAACGTGGTCCAACCAAGCAACGCCGCGTCATCAGCGCTGTGACCTTCACTGCCGGACGACAGCTGGCTTCAACCTAGCATACTGCGTCATCAGCGCTGCGACCGGACAGTGAGGGCGCCATTCTTACTGTAACCGGCGCC